ATTGCTAGTAGGTATGGGTATCTTGCTTATGTGACAATCTGCCTCTTTCATTCAGTTTCCTATTCTGACACTGAATACCTGTATAATAGATTTACTCAGACTGTTCTCTCCTGGTACAATATTAAGATAGTGATCACTACCAACTCCTCTGCCACTACAAGCTCTTAGATCCTGTGCATGACTCAAATTCATTCCAGAACAGGTCCCTTTCATGTTGGTTACAGGAATATTAGAAACAGTAATTTGTTGCATCCAAAGCTTTTATCTTCTCATAACATTCTGATAAGGATTTGATTCAACCCATATGCAAGTAGTTAAATCTCTCACTTTATTGCCACAAAATTTGCAGCTTCTCTAATCTCACTTAACGTTTTCTCATCACAAACATCATCTGATCCGAGAGCTATTAACACAGTATAATACTACATTATTAGAAGGAGTTTCCATTCACAAGGTTTCACATGGTAAGCTTCTTTTCCCCCCACAGGATTTTCATGCTGCTACACTTCATGCTACCTTTTATGCAAACTGCCACTCCCCTGCCTGTAAGTCTAATCATTCCAGCAAAGTTGGCAGCATATTAACATCATACACCACTGATTATTCTCCTTCCATCAGGCTTCCAACACATCTATTATAAAGCAGTTGTCATTCAATAATGAGCATTTTTGTTTGTTCATCTTATCTGTTAGGCTTCAGATAATAAAAAAGCACATATAAGGTTTGTTCCAGCTCTGCTGCTCAGTATTGCACATACCAGTTAACTTTAAGACATAAGTTCCGTTCAATGTTTTCAAATTATAGTAAGAGATTCCTTTGATACCACTGTTGCCAAAAAGGCTTTTCACAGATTTTCTTCACTGATCTGCAACCATGAATATAATCCTGATAAATCTTAAACACTTGATATTTTTTATTATTTCTCTTTCAAGTCTCTAACTACCCTTCATACCAATCCTTCTTTTTGCCTTTAAAAAGAAAAGTTATCAGAAAACCAAAGATCATTCATGCAAACCATTGACATCCATCATCCTATTTTCAGAACTCCTCAATTACTTTTTTCTTTTTCCTCTCCTTTCCCCTGCCAGCCAGAGAAAGAGCTATGGAGCATACCTTGCTTCCATAGTGATGTCTTTAAGGTAGTGATTTCACTCCTTATTTTTATTCTTTTAGATGCTGACACAAAACTAATGATTTGAGGGTTCCAGAATCTTTCGTTTCTTTGTTTCTTGGGGCATCTCACAACAAACTCCCACGTTGTCTTGCAAATATTTAAATGTATGTACACTTTTCAGCCACAACCAAATCTTTTCTCAAGTATTCACTTTGAAAATATTTCATCCACACACTGACCTGTATTTCCAGATTCTGAACTAATATTCTCCTCCCACATTCCCTGCGTAGCAGTAAATCTTTATGGTTTTATGACAAAGGAGTTGGTTTTCCATTATGCCCTTGCCTACTTCTTTCATATATGTAATCTTAGATTTCTTTAAGATTACAAATTTATTCTGAGACAAGAATAAATTCTGAGTCAATAAACGAATTACACTTTGTCTTCAGTAAGTTGCTACAACAATACCATCTGCAATTGATGCTTTGATACTTCTCACTGTTCCAGCTCAAAGTTTTAATTTTTATAAAACATGTTGCTTTCACAAAATGGTTCAATTTCTGAAAAGCAACAAAACCAGCTTTATAACAAGTAAAGAATGAAAATACTCTATACCACACCCATAGCCCTTTACATGGACTCATCATTATCACCATCACCATCATTATTATTGTTAAACAAGGAGCACAGTGAAAACACTTCCTCCAGTAAGTTACCAAGACTGTTGCCAGCAATCGAAGAAGTGATTATTTTCCTCTACTCCCCTTCTCTCTCAGGGAGAGGTATCTGGAGTACTTTTTATGTTTGGGGATTCCCACTTCAAGAAAAATATAGATATGTAGGAACAAGTACAGCAGAAAGATCATCAAGATGATTAAAGGGCTGAAACAGAAGATGCAGACAGAAAGGCTGCAAGAGCTATTCGTCTTGAAAAGGATAAAGGGCAAGGGAACTCTTAAAGCTCTCTCAAACTACCTAGCAGAAGGCTACAAATAAGAGGAAAGCAGATTCTTCTTGGAGGTGCACAATGAGCAAGAGCCAACAGACACAAGTTGCAACAAGAGATATTCCAAGATGATGTTATGAAAAAAATTTCACCACAATGGTGACAAACACAGGACCAGGTTGTCATCCATAAATCTCCATCCTTGGGAATATCTCAGAGTCAGCTGGACAAAAACCCAAGCAACATGAAATTGGCTGACTCTTATTTTACGAAGGTGATTAGACTGCATGACCTCCAGAGGTCCCTTCCAAACTAAATAATTCCATGATTCAAGAACATCTCTGACATGCCTCCAGACATCCTTAACAAGAGTGATTTTTTTCTCCATGTACAGTATTTGCTCCATGTTACTACTCACTATTTTTCCTATACTCTCAAGCTAGACTCTTTCACTTTTTTATTCTTGCAGTAGTATTTCTTTCACACCTCCATAACATCTTCAGTTTTTTCAGTTGCTTCAATACCCACTCAGAATCAACATCATTTATAACTTCTATACAAACATCTGCTAAAGCTTCAAATCTATTCTATACTGTTCTGTATTCCTTTTTCTAGTAGAAATTCCTCAGTGGATTATTTACATACACATAAGACTTCCTCTTCTGGATCAACACTGAAATACTTCCAGCACATCAGCTGGCAAAATGCAGCAACTGAACATTTGAGTACTTCAATTGGATTTTACTTAATCAGAATAAAATTCACTTAAAGCATCATTGAACATTCTGGTCCCTGCTTCCACAACTAGATACCTCTTCTTACACAATGACTTCAATGAAAAGAGTGCATAAGCAGACACTTCAACAAGAGTGGAAACCAGCTCATTTTTTGCATGCCATCATTTGGCTACAGAATAATTTTCAGCTTGTTGTCTTTCTGGGTTTAGAGACAAAGCTTTAGAAATAGTCAAGGACTATTCCAAAATTAAGTCTAGCAAATAGCTTCCTGATTCTACTTTAGAAAGCATGGTATTAAATCTTTCAAGACTGAAAAATGAAGAAAACTGGATGTCTCCAATTCCTTTGGCAAGTTTTGTTACGATCAATAAGTTACATATAAGCTACAAAGAAGCATCCCCTCTCTCCGCAGTAATAAGAACAAAAGAAGTTACTTTGCTGTCCTTTGTACCAGAATTCATGCTCTTAATAAGAGACACTGAGATGCCTGGTGCTGTCTACTTATGTGTTTAAGCATTCATGCAAATTCCTGTAAACTGCTCACTTGAATAAAGATGAAATTTAGTTCCATGTTGCCTTTTAGACAGCTACTTGCTGTTCTAAACGAAATCTTTAGTGTCTCCAGCCCCTTTGAAAAATTAAGATGATGGCATGCTTATATCACCCTTGTGAGATGAGAGAGATCTCAAAACTTTAAAAAAAAAGATGAAGCAGTAAGCTCCACCTGTAAAAAAAAAATTACATTTGTACCTGCAGGCTATAGCCTTTTAATTGCCCCCTCCTCCCCTTCCATTTGGTATAAAAGTATACTTCACTGATTTTTCAACTGTAAATCCAATAACTCTCTTCTATTAGGCTTTGTCAAAACAACGTATTCAGTCCGTTCAGTTAAACTTTGAAGGGATGTTAATCTTGTTACTCTAATGGTACTCGCTGTCTGTGGAGATTCACAATTCTCTTCTGAGCCATTAACGTGTTTGGCCTGAACATCATCTTGTCTCCCAAATTTTACTGTTTAATTACACATAGCAAACTGTATTTCCTCCAGTGACTTTTAAAACTTCCAACCTATTAACTCAGGGAACATTCTTGGGAATTCTCCTAACATTATAATGGTACCACAATTATCTTTTAGACTTATTTTAATATATTCAAGCAAAAATGTTTATGGTCTGTGAGGTTTTCTTGCCTTTTTATCTTTGTATAACGTTCTTAATATTACTAAGTATCAACATGAATAAACTGTAATACTGAACTCAGTAGAAATACTGCTAGAGCATAAAAAGCCTGCTTTTACAAAGCAGGATAAGGTTCTTGGTTATGGTAAAAAAAAAAATATTGGATAATACACACCAAAGCATACCAAAAAACCCTGAGAAACTTGAGAATGCCATGCACTATACTAAATAAAAATATCACAGAGAAATTTTTAAAACAAACTAAAAATATAACAAAACTTTTCAATTTGAAAAAGAATTAATCATTGCACCCCTTTGACTGACCAAAATATTAAGTTTCTGATACCAATCAAGGAGGGATGAACAAAAAAAAAAGTCAAGAAATAACAGTGGAAATATAGGCATTTTATATATGTGGCAGAATAATCTAAAATACTAGTGAGACAACTTAATTCCAGAAAGGGAGAAAAGTTTTAAAGCCAGGAACACTTTCAAATATTTTACTCTTCCACAAGGCTTTAAAAGCTGAAGAAGCTAAGCAAAGTATCAAAAAGATCAATGTTGCTAAAGGTTTATCAGAAAGTTAAAAAAAAAATTCATTAAAAGACTCTCATCCTTCATGGAACCAAAACACATGATTTATCATATGCATTCTGAAGTTAGACACATCATCTTCTGCACTCTAGATTAGGTCACTGTGTTTTATTAAGATATTATGACAATTTTTTTTTTTATTTTTTTTCCCACATGTGACTGAATAAAAGTCTGTATTATCTGGAAGTATTCCCTGGGGTTTTTTGGCAAGGTTTTCCTTACAGGCCACAGAATTTTTGTCATCCTTTAAGTAAAATAGTTCAATTTTACTGCTTTAAGCAGTCTGGGATTGTCAAATCTTTTTCTTCATACATTCTACTTAAAAAAGAGAACATTAATATTATATTCTATTTTTTTTCATATAGTATTTAAGCCCCAAAAATTTTAAAGCTATCTCTAAAAGCTGAAATTTAAAGCAATCAATTACTTACCCCTTTTTTGGCAACAAAAGGTAAGTTCCAATTTGCAAAGCATGTCAGCATTCTCGTACTTGTCCTCTTCCGCCTTAACCCAAAAACAGGATTCTGTCATTTCCTGAGGCCTGATCTACAAGCAAAAGACAAAACAAAATTTTATTAATTAAATTACTTTGATGCTACGCAGAGACTGTGCTCTGTAGAATCTAAAGCAAATTAAATCCTTAAAAGCTCTGTAAAACGTGAACTTTTGGTATATAACTCATCTTTAGAATTGTTAATATATTTCTGACTGAAAATAATGCTTACACTAAGTGCTTTTGGACAACCTAATTCTAACAATACAAAGCAATGCAGACAACATACTCTGCTATACAAGGTCTAAATGTAGCAAATTATATTTGCTCTAGATTTAAAACTTGGGTAAACTTTAAACAGTCGCTGAAGACAGCTGGTTTAACTAGATATTAAGTACCTTACTTTTTAGATTGTAGCTTTGATTGCTTCATAAAACTCTGAAAATCTTTTTACTGACTTATTTTGGTCTAAACAATTACAGTTTCCAAAACTGAGTATTGATAGTCCTGGTATACTTGAACCTGTCACAATGGAGAAGGAAAAAAAAAATAAAAAAAAAAATAAACGGACTCTATTTTTTCAACCATTAAATTTACACAATTACATTTACACTAAGGACAAATGGAGAGACCATAAACGGACTCTGTGTAAATTTAATGGTTGAAAAAATAATTACATTTACACTAAGGACAAATGGAGAGACCTGTAATGCTTATTCCCACAGTCCAGGCTAGATAGATGCAAGATACTTGTTTGGAAACTGTATAGCTATCAGTACAGTGCAGTGACTGATCCCATGTAAACAGTTTGATAAAAGACAAGGCACAGTAGGACCCAGGAAGCATGCTGGTATCAAGGTTGTATTATTCTAGACCAGAAATTACTTTTCCAGGCATCTCAGAAAGTCAATAGATACTTGCCCAGATGATTCATGAGTCACAGAAACACAGTTTTCAGAAAACAAGGAAAACTAAAGACAGAAAGTATTCATATCATATAATTTTAACTAATGTATCAATTGTTCTGTATAGTTTTACTCCTGGTAATCCATTTACCTTAAGCTCTATGCAAGATTTTGCATCAAGTATTTGCCTTTAATCAGAACTACCTTGGACCAGTTGAGTCTCTTCATGGTAACCTCAGGTCTGAATTCTTTTTTAGGCTTCATTCCAAATGGCAAAGTACATGACGGTGGAGACCACTGTGCTCCAGGCAGGCCTGGTAGAGGCGGTGGTGGAGGAGCACCACCAAAAGCGAGAGGAATTCCCAAGCCATTCAAAAGTGGTGGAGGAGGAGGAGGCGGCGGCGGCGGTGGTGGAATTGCTCCATTAGAAGGCAGAGGTGGAGGAGGAGGAGGCGTCATTTGATGTGGTCCTGCAGCTTCCAGTGAAACGACAGATGCACCTCCACATGTTGAGGGTAGAAAACCAGGTGGCAAGGAGCCATACTGATAAGGAAAATATTCTTATTCATTTTCACATTTTTTATCAACAAAATGCCATAACAATTATAGCCAGTTGAAAGCTAGTGCCATTTTCCTTATATAGGACAACCAAATATGAATTATAATGAGGCCAATGTGCTTTTTGATTTCATAATCTTAAGTCTCAACATCTGAAGCAGATATTCAGACCGGGGGGGCGGAGGGCACACCAAAAATGACAAACTGAAATGCTATATCCCACTTGTCATGTTTCACTGATCATGATCCAAGAAGGGTCTGATAGATATCTTGATGAAATTTTTATCTGGACTACCATGTTTTAGCTCAAATTAAAAAATAACATCCTAGTCTTTAGCATTCTTGCTTATCCTACAGATTCCAGAGAAAGGTTCCAAGGACATAATAGCAGAATCTGAACAGATCAGTAATTCTGTTGAAAAACAGATATTTTCCAATATAGGAGCATTCTCATTCTACAGAATTGAAAGTACAAAGTAATGATGAAAAAAAAACTTCCAAAAAATACAGCTGCCTTACACACCAACTTTCTGTATAGTAAGGACATATATACCATATCAAGATAGGCTTATTAGCACTTCAGTAAGTCTAAAAAAATATATATATTTATTTCTACTATTTGAAGAACTTCTATCATGGGCCTTCAAACATGAATAAATAGGTACCTTACTGGTGATAGTATTAATCAACTTTTTAACTTATGAGTTGAAACAGTCCATTTTATTTTTAAAAAGTCGAAGGAAATACAATAAGCAGAGGATTTAATATTTTTAAAAGGAAATAGCTAGGTGTCAATAAATATAAATAAAACCATGCACAACAGTATTATTATTTTGAATTTCTGAATATACACATTGTTTATACTGAAAAGCAGACACTGGACAATTAAGCTCTACTAACAAAAGAAATAGGTGAACAAATACCAAATACAACAACAGAGTAAAGGAACTAGACCAGGAGAAAAATAGTCATGAGGCGGAAGTAGCCATGCTAAGTAGCAACTGATGCCATACAGAAACCAAAGATTCCTCTCTTCAGACAGATTTAAGAGTAGTAAGTTGAAGTAATCAATTATTTGATATTTACAAAACTTTTCAAGTACCCATTAACAGTGGGATAATTAATGGATGATAATTAATGAGCATAATCATATGTTACACTCACTGCCTGTACATAAAAAAGTTTATTTAATAGTGAACAAGGGAAAAAGTAAAATAGGAGACAAAACCTATTTCACTCACAGAAAGTATTTAAGTATGTTTTCAAAATACACACATAAAAATACTTTCTTAATGATATACAGCTCTCACTAAAGTTATTTTAGAATGCAACAGTTTTTGTAACTGCTTTTCTAAAGCCTGTTTGACTTTGACATTAACAGTTAATTTTGATCAGAAACTTGAATTAGAATGGCAATTTTAAACAGACCAAAGCAGAGCTAAACTGAACTTCCTCACCAAGAAAATTAAACAAGCTCAAAAGTATAAAAAAAAAAACCCTCTATGATAAAAACAGATATTTTATCATTTTCCTATATGCATCTCTTCCCTTTGTTGTCTTTCTTTGGCCATTTTTAGACTGTGCTTCTTATTCCAGGAAATAAGACACAGGAAAAATCACTTTGTTACACAGTCTCCTTACACAGATTTTAGAGCTGAAGCAGTTACAAGTTAACTCAAGCATTACTCTCAGAAATCTGCACTATTCCTTTCCATCACATTTTAAAAAATCTATTTATGCCTGAAAATTGAAAAATTATCAGGAAATGTTCTTATCCAGCCATAGGTTCTTTCTTTCACTGCTGGATATCCATGGTAAGGCTTCAGCAAAGAAAACTGCGTAATGAATAATTTCCTGTGGAGGGATAAAGATCACAGTGATGAATGCTAATCTAAAAGCATAAGACTTATTACCCTATGTGGTTAATTACTTTGGAAATATATGACACTGAAAGCAAAAACCCAAATGAAACATAAGAAACTAGTTTAATTAACGGAGCTCAGGCACAAAAAGGATCATCTGGAAATTCAAACAGCTAATTAATGTCACACTACAATCCTTTGTATAAAACACAAATAAAGGATACTAAGTCAATAATAATCGATAACAAGGATTTTTTGAAAGAAACTTCAACTGTACTATCAGAATCTGCAAAAGATGCAAAGTGAAGTCCCTTTCAAAAACAATACTTCATACATTTTAACTTATACCTGCGATTTAAAAGCTTGTAATTCTGCTTCAAGTTCATTGATTCTTTCTTCCTTTTTTTGCAGTAGGGCCTGGGTCTCCTGATGAACTACAAAATCTTTTTCAAACTAAGAGAAAAGAAAAAAAAAAATGTTGATACTAGTCAGTCCTGCATAGTTTCTTTAGATTCCAACTTTTCCTTTTGTGTTTCTTAAAACTCACATGTTAATACTAAGGGCACATGCAACCTATCTGCTATTCTAACTTCCATGTATTTGCTGAGGAAGTACCATCTGTATTACCACTACAAGGCTTTACTATATGAAATGGCATACTTAATGTATTTTAAGTTGGAATTAGACAGAGTAGCTTAAAAAGACTGATGTACAGTAATAGAGAGTCTGTAGATAAGAATGTGTCAGCTCTTATTCCCCCACTGTTTATCTTCTTGAAGAAACTAACAACTGTTCAAATAAAGTATTCGGTTGATTTTGGAGAGATTTATACATGAAACCTTAAAATTAATAGTAGAGAGATTCTCAATTAAGGTTAATGCCACTTTACACCACTTTTCTCTGCTTCCTAGTCCACAAAAAACTTCCACATTCCCATTGAAACATAGAACTAACAAAAATTTGAAGTTAAAAACTATGCCACATGCAGCTACACTATCCATGAAGCTGTTACGTAATCCCCTTGCATCCATCTTATGATCACACGACTTGAAAATTACTTACTTTTCTGGAAAGTTCAGAAGCCCTCTCTTCACATTCTTCTAATCTTGCTTTATCTACACAAATATCTTGAAAAAAAAAAAAACAAACACGCTAGCACATATACCGGCAATGCAAGATTCTTAATCACACATACAAGTTTAACTTTGGTTTTGGAACATATAGAAATGTATGATACCATAATCATTTCCAAACATAGTACTTACCTACTAAGTGGCTGAAATTTATATCTAATCTTTTGCGATATGTGAAATCTGGGTCTGTTCCACTTCGATGTAACACTATCTGAGACACACATTCTTCAATTAATTTGAAATACTGTGGACTAAAGACAGAGATGAGTTCTTTTACAGCATATTTATTTATTAGTGTATACTTAAAATCTTGTCTATGAACACAATAATGTCAAAAGATTTTAGCTGATATTTCCATAGAAGGGTAGGTGCAAACCCTGAAAGTCTCAAAGGACAACACCTGGCAGTTTATTACACAAGAACAGTTTGCACAAAGCTTAAAAAACCAGTAGACCTAAGCATAAACGATTCTTATATTATAAACTCTGCGTCTCTTCCCCTGTGGAAATACAGGAAGAAAAGACTCCCTTCTACTTCCTCCCAGTAAAGAGAAGGCTCTTCCTTCAGGTTGATCCCTTTTGGTTTTCTGACTTATGTAATTATGGATGCATTGTAGCCCTGCTTCAGTAAGAGGAATGAAAAGCACCTTGTTCTAAAATGCCAGGGAGTACGACAGCTGGGTCACTTGCCCAGCACATGCCAGCTATGAATTCAAAAACTTTCAGGTGGAAGAGGTCTAGCACAGCTGCACCCATGTCAGGCAAGCACTCTTAACCTTTAAGGGTACATCTGTGCTACACCTTGCCTGAAATGCAAGGTTATGCAGAACACTGCAGAAAACAAACAGCTTTCCTTCCCTGTTCAGTTCATATCTGGTTCCTCCAGTGTTTCCTCAAAACCAACACAAGCACATTTTAGAAAGGAAAGTATCTGGCAGCTTCAAATATGTTAGGTTTTATTAACTTTTTCCCTGTAATTTATCTGATCAATTTTCCAAGAGACGCTAACACACTGACCTATAATGTATATTGAGAATACTCAATTCCCAACCAAAAGTTACTCTAAATTAAGCATATATTCAGATCTCTGTGTAAGTGAACTTCTGCGCATACTTGGTTTTGTCCTTTGACTCAAACACACCACAAAATTACTAATGCTACTACCATGATTTATAACCAGTTAAGAAACCTGTGCTGATCACTTACACTTGCAGTCAAAAAGGTTCATATCTCAACAAAAATAGTTTTCTTTATTGATATATACAATTGTATCCTAAGCAGAAGAGACAAAAACATATAGATGGTATTCTTATTCAAAGCTGATACCTTTGAACGTGAGTTCACAAAGGAATACTTATGAATTGCAATCTGCACAGAAAAAGACTAAACTGTATTTACCATTAAATTTATGGAAGACATATTCTATTAATGACTAAATGACAATAAAATCCATAATTAACATTTAACATAGCATTAAGCATACCGTATAAAATAATCATTTCTTATTAGCAAAAGGTGTTGGAGAATAGAAAGAAAATATCCTTCAGCGCTAGTGTCCTTAACTGTATTCCACACCATGTTGTAAACATCATTTACTTCAGTAAAAGTGTTAAGGAAAGTAATAGCAAGGAAAAAATATTTCAGTTAAATGTTGACTGGTGACTTTTTTAAAACAGAAATTATACCAGAAAAATGTCCGTTATACATTTTATTTTGTTTGCATTTCTCTTGCTGATAATAAAAAGGATATTCTAGTTCAGATCTAATATCTTCTAAACGATGAGAGAATTCGATCATGTCTTCTTCCTTATGCTCATTGAACACTTTCAGCTGAATATCTAGTGCTTCATTCTTTATGCATTTCAATTGCTGCAAAGAAGAAACAGTAGATAGGCTTGCAAAATTAGCATTTCCATATGTAAATAAACCTTATTTTTTTTAATAATTTCCGTAAGTCAATGTTATTTTAAAGTTTAAAATTACAACAACACGAGTTAAATATTCAAAAGGTAAACATGGCTTCAGCCTGGATTAACAAGTGTCTGCACAACAGTCTGTCACATGCTCTAAATCAAAGTCCTAAAATGCTGAGGAATCAGCATAAAGTTCAGAGAGCACACTTCACCTTTTCATTCTTATTTTAAGACTAATTCTCGTATCTAACTGCTCATGCCCAGACTTAATAAAATACCTTTCGGAGTAACTTATTAGAACTTGTTCTCCCATTCCCCCTCTCGAGCTCAAATAGTACAATAATTTAAATAGTATTGTAAAGAGACTCCTCAAGATGCTTACTGGCAATATCTCTTTCAATCCACTGCGCATAAATTCATTTCTGATGTGAAGCCTAAAATCCAAATCATCAGGAGATGTAACGAGAGCATTGATGAGCTGCATGCAAGCTACCTGTAACAAAGGAAATATTAAACTATTTTATTTCTTAGATTTCAATATGCATCACAGTCAAAAAGACATAACGAACTACTCACTAAGACATTACATCATGCCTAATTATCAATCGACTATAATCTTAGAATTAGAATACTTAAATTTATCAGCCACGAACTATAAATACAAAACACTAGTTCACAAATTTCCATAAAAATGAAATTGTCATTTTATACAAATAGGTAGTAACTTCAGTAAATGAACTTTAGCAGATAGTAAATACTTTGATAAGGATAATTCTCCATAGATAAAAATCAATGTAAATATACAATTATCTGTACATATAAATAAAAAGTTAGTGACATGACAAAGTCTAAAGTCTATGTGAACAGTAGAAAATACATTACAAGATAAAATGCTCAGTAAACTAAACCAAACCTGAAGAACAGAATGAGCTTTTTTCCCTTCTTTTTTCCCTTCTTTTTAAAAATCTCCCCTCTTTAAACATACTGAGTGTCATAGAATACTTCATGGAAGCAGTGCTTCTTCAGCTCAAAAGCAAGCATCAGGACAAATACAATGCCTGTATCAGTCTGTGGTTAACTAGGGAGTAGTCCCTCTTCTGAAGAATGAAGAGATTCATCTTGAAAACCCATAGCCAGAAGCAGCAGGACAACTTACTATTAATAATAAATAAGGATGACAACAGACATTATTTCCTTTTTTTACCCTCTTTATTGTTTGCACGTCTTGCTTCAATGTACAGGAAATGTTCATGTATTTCCAGCATTTTAAGGTGTTTCTAAAAGCAAAAGTCAATTAGGATATGTGTTCTGGCCTAATATACTACATAAACAAGTTAAGAAATATGGTTCAAATACTTTCTCCATTGAAAAGCCCTTTATTGTCTAGAAAATTATGATGTATTATGCCATGGTCAGGCAAAAGGAGATACTGGGAACTTACTGTATCAGTCATCTTCAAAGTACGTATAATTCCAATTACCGAATTTACATATGGTCACCAGAAGAACTGGATGGCCGAGCTACTTTGATACAGACTATAAGAAACAACACCACTCATTAGGTTTCCAAGAGGAACATGCTAAAATTAAATGATAACACAGACTACAACCATGATCCTCCATTTATCCTACTGCAAGGAATGTTAAGTATGAAAGTAGTTTTATATATTATTTTAGCTGAACTGTTTTGGGGGTGCCTGGCAGTCAGCATAATTTAGGCATACTTGACAGCACTGTTAGCATATGTATATGAACTTTAGTCAATACTATAGAAGAGCTTAATTATAAGAACAGAGATATAACAAGTGTAAACAACCTGTTAATGAATGCGGGAGCTGTGAACCTGTTGAGAAAAACATGTCAAGCAGACTGTGAGCTCCAGCAGGTTATTAGGGACCAAGTCTTAGAATGAACCAATTAGGCATCAGGCATTCTCCACCAAATCCCATAAATGATGGTATTTGGAGTCACTTGGAAAGAGAACCCCAAAAGCCCCACAACTCTGTGCCAGGAGTTGGGACCATCTCTCCAAGTTCCAGAGATGCCCAAGAAGATAAGGATGCTCAAGGGAGGATGCCATGGCATGACATAGTTGGAACCACTGTACTAACCTAAACGACATCTCTCCTGGAGAAAAGCTGCCATGACAGCACCTATCCTTATATTACTCTGTCATACAACATACCTTGCATCAACAATAACTTTAAGCCAGTAATAGGAGGAGAGAACAAGCTTTGCTCCTTTCTCTTACTTGAATGAAGAGCTGAAATTAAGTCAATTTCCCTCAGAAGTTCTATGCAACTCAGTACATGCAAATACCTAGATTTGCATAATAGTAAAAAAGAAAACTATTGCTTTTCCTTTATTGACATCAACAGGACAAAGCACACTAAATTCAATTATTTAAATCAACTGTATAAAAATGTTAAGATAGATTTCTGTAACTTACTCCAGTCTTAGACAACAATTATTCAAGGTACAACATCTAAATAAAACTTTAGCTGATTGAACATGAAGCTGTATTAAAGCAGAACAAAAAAAAGAAAGAGAAAAAAAAGTTTGAGGGACAACTTGCAAAAAGCATTTATGATTAACACATCTTTTTCCTCAAAGATAACAAAAGAAGGAAGACAAACAGAGAATCTTGTCAGTAAGAGATCACAGTGAAAAGGAGTACCCAAAGAAAATAAAGGCCACAGCAACACTTCATCAAATTGTTCTTCTGGTGTGTGAAAGGGGTTCCCAAAATAGAACAGAGACACAAACAGGTTCAGGGGTTGGCAGAAGAACTTAGAAAACAAAGCCAACAATGAGAAGTCACAAAAGAGTATTCACCCAAAAGTTTTGAAGAAAATTAAGGACAAAATAACTTTAGTACTTGCTATTGCATTTAAGTTCCTACTGAAAAGCACATGGATAAAAAAGTCAGTTAAATAGGATTATAGGTAACAGGACCACAGCCTTGACCATTCTGTCTTAAATAAAATATGTTCCCTTGAGAAAGATCTTTCGTATTTGGGACTTCTTTAAAGTTATAAATAAGAAACAATCCTCAGTTATTCTTCTCCGAACAACTCACTTGGAAAGCTGTTAAGCTGATAACAATTTGGGGCTTTAACTGTCATGGTGGACTCATCTTTGTAGTGCCTATCAGAACTATTCTTATGACACTTCTCCCTGAAATATATTATTTCCCTGATTTTATGCAATATGCTTCTGTACATATCTCTACAGTATTTTAGAAACCTAGAGGAAAATATGACTTAGTTAACTTATCACTTATTTTCTTCAAATAAATTCAAAGAGAACTTTTGTATTACTCCTGAAGCCTGTTTCTGTAAGAGTTGTTGTAATTATTTGTTTGTTACTGATAAATCATCACTCTACACTAAGTAACCAAAAGTATTGCTAACCCCAAAAAAGGAAACTACAAATACCCAAAGATAAATAAAAAGAAAATCTTTAGGCAAACCCCACACAACAATACAAAAAATATTTTAAAACCACCTCAGGTGCCCAGTCCAATTCTCAAAAGTAGACTGAATAAAACCTTCCAGTAATTGCCTTAATGGCACCCAACAGCGAAAAAATTAGGACTCTCCTGTTGCAAAACAAAGTATTTTTGGACAATGAAAAAGCTCCTTGCATTCAATATTTATAATGTCCTTTAAAACTTTGTTCAGAACATGTGGCCTTGTAGCCCAGTAATTTTTGCTAGTAACAGGCTACAGGCTTTGTATTAAGCCAACACCACATGCTTCCCGACTTGTCAGGCTTCATCAAGACTTGGCTTGCCTGCCTGCAGTTCTGTTTTGGCTTATTTAGCTGCAACAGGATTTGTCTAGCAAACAGAATGACTACCACCCCACTAGTTTTAGATTTTGCTTATCCTTGTACGCGTTCGTGGCACAAAGTTTACTGCTACATACATTTCTGTAAATAGCAGATAGCAGTATGACCGTAAATAAAATGCAGCATAGAAAAGTAGAGGCATTGGATGTGAGCAGAAACATGTGTTAGCGCTACTAAGGGTAATTTGATTAGACCGCTAAGACTTCATTTAGACTAACAACAAAATCATGGCTTTGAATATAAGGTGCATTCCTCAGGCCCATAAACTGCACAAGTTGCAGTGTCACAATATGGTGGAATCTGATCAGCCTCATCTGTAATTTGAACACAACAAATGGTAGAAAATGCAGGTAACCAAAACAATTAAAATCTAATTCAACAATACCTTACAGAATATATTCTCTTATTATATAAGTATGGGCTGTCTTCTTTAATCTTAAACCTTTTTGTATTTGTTTTGGTATGGGTCTACTTTATGAAACCATCCAATTTATCATTATTTGTATTTTTCTTTAGCAGCCATGATGAAAATTTTTACTTCCCCTAATTTTGAGCTTATTTAGTTGAAACCTGTTACACCATCACCGATTTATCTTTCTGGAGTACTGAGTCTTTCATTCAATTGCATTTTCTTGATTCAATTAGCTCTGCCATTCAAAAACAGTAATTCAGTACATTGACAGATGCCACCAACACCTGTAGTCCTGTTAACATCAGTGAGGCATTTCAATGACTGTAGACTTCATTGGACATCACTATCATACAGTACTGCAAGGTTACATTTACATTTCAAATAGTCAAACTCCATGTTGTTTGAATACATCAGAATTGGAACCTTTGTCATTGTTATCAGCAATTTAAAACACAGTACATTTTCATGCAAAATTTTATGTGAATGGACTGTTAAGCAAGGAATGAGCATTTATCACACTTGATTTAAACTATCAATGAAGAGGCAATCAGAGACTGAACAAAGTACACTACTGTGAAAATCCTGATCAAGAGCAAACTACATTTTTATCTTTGAGATAGCAATGCAATTTAGATGAAAGGATGTCTGCAGATGTAATTGCTGCCCAAAAAATGGTATTTTCTTTTAATTTGCCAAATCAACAAGGTACATGTGCACATGTGCTACTCGAATAGAACAGAGACAAGACAGGATAACGAAAAGCAAGAAATACATCGGTAAAAAGTACTGTTATTCTAGTACTTCAGTCAAATTTGATCAAGTGGGAATTTGAGTACAGTTCATAACCAGAACATACTTCCATCTTTCCCGCAAGAAACAAGATAAAGATCTACTGGATTATGTTAGCAAACTTCTATAGGAATAAAAAGAGAAAGTAATAGTGAAAGCTCCAAACAGAAGTCTACAAAAAGCAGAATGAGAAAACGTTATACAAGAGGAAGAAAACACAAGTCCAAGCGATGCACTGCTTAGACATCTACCTTTGAGTAATTTGCTTCATGAAAACTTAAAAAAAAATTAAAAATACTAACGATAAGGACAACAGCAAGAACCTGTTATTAGATCACAAACATTTATAACATGCTCCAAATGAAACTATCATTCAATATCTAGCAGCATATAATACCTAAATCACACATGATCACAATAATTTGAGATTCATTCATTCAC